TTTTTTTTTTTTTTTTTTTTTTGAACTTGCACTGCATGATGGATCGAATAAGACCATAGATATTTAACCTAACATTTCTCTTGTTTTATATTTTATCAATTAAAATATTTACTAAATATTACTTAGACAAGGCAATTACATTTTCTTTTATATCTCATTAGTCTTATTAGCAAGTAAATTCCATTGTTTATCTACCCTTCCTCCCCATCATTGCAATTAGACTTGGCTAAGATTTACAGTCTCAGGGTTCATGGCTGCTAGAGCTTGCAACTCAACATGAGGCACCTGTGCGCAACCCTTCTCACAGCACAACTGTGACTGTTGTGGGTGAGTGTGCTGGGCTTGCTGTTTTTAGGGTATTTAATAGAATAATCCTATAATTCAGCATTCCCCACATTCGCCTTGTGGTAAGAATTACCACAGGTCCTTGCTAGCATATGATCCCCAGGCAATTTTTAGTATTAAGCGTATTTGGGAAACTGGCATAAACGAACAGCTTTGCAGTTAGTAAGTGGGTTGAGGAATTTTCAGAGCTGGACTTCAGACTTCAGCACAGTTAAAGTAAATGAAGATGGATTTTGCCCCTCCCAGCAATCTGTTCTTCTGATGCACCTCTTTCCCTTTTGGCCATATTATTTTCAAGACAGGACTTCACACTGGTTTGAATCAGTTCAGTCATGGCTGACGATAGTGAAGTCAGAACAGACCTGACTTTGTAAAATGTGGATGTACAGGAATAAGAAGCAGAACAGGAAAAATGCTGAAGTGCTGGAATGGGAGACTTAGAAGACGTGCAGTGAGCCCTTTCAAGAGCCTGACACAGTAGACTGGATTAGTGCCAGGGCTATTTGCCTATTCAAAGCTGTGCTTGTCCTCTGTCTTTGAACAGGGCAGCAGTGTTTCTGACTCTGCTGGACTAGAGATTTGGTTGCTATGCAATGTGCATGCTGCCCTTGTTTTCTAAGAGGGAGATTATGTTTTATAGCAGGGTGTCAACCTGTAATTTTTCTATTCCAGTTGCTGTTCCAGTACGTCCCCACTTTACAAAGTCAAGTCCATTCCAGTTTCACTTCCTAAGCCATGACTGAACTGGGCAGAATTGGTTGAAAGCCCTGTTTCAAGGTATGTCCATCTTTCTGCCTCCATTATTCTGAGAGCAACATTATGTCTCCTTCTCTAGTGATATTTTCACGTTAGCTAAACAAGAAAGCATCTCTTGGCTCATCTGACCTGCTTTGCTCTCTGGTAGAGTGTGCTCACTGGAAGAGTTATCCTGCCAAGGAATGTGGTTGCAATTTAATAGATGTTTCTTGAAAAAATAGTAACTGTTCTATTTCTATTGCTGCATAACACAACATCCCAAAGCTAGATGGCATAAACAGCAATCTTTTAATTCTGAACATAACTTTTGTGGGTCAGGAACTCGAGAAGAGCATGGGGGTTGTGATGCATTGTCCCTGCTCTGTGATGTCTGTGGCTCAGCTGGGAAGACTTGAAAGTTGTAGTGACTCCATGGCTAGAGGCAGCAATTATCTGGAGTTTCCTTCACTCACACATAAAGCGCCAGGGCTGAGATGACTCAAAGACTGAGCTCAGCTGGGACAATTGATGTAACCTCTTCATGTGGCTTGGGATTCTCTCATCATGGAACCCAGTTTCTGATAAAGGAATGTCCTGAGAAAAGAGCAAGTGTCCTAAGAGAACAAGGTAGAATCTGCATGGCCTTTTTTTAACCTAGATTCAGAAGTCCCATAGAGTCCCTGGGTGGTGTCAGCAGTTTATGACTGGCTTGTTGTTGTTGTTGTTATGTGCTGCTACTTACCTAAAATTTTGCAGTTTGAACCCACCTAGTAGCAGCACAAAAGAAAAGTCCTGGTGATGTCCTTCTGTGAAGATTACAGCCAAGAAAACCCAATGGAACAGTTCTACTGAGGCAAGTAGGTCATGGAAACTGACAACTCGCTACTCTGCAAATCAATGTTTCTGGTCCAGGGACCACCCTGAACCAGCATCAGAATCCCATGCCATACAGATTCCTAAGGTACACATCAAACCACACCAAAAATGAGGTGCCATTGAGGTGACTCCAATTCACAGAGAGTCCATGTGGCCATACTGGAACTGTCCACCAAAGACTTTTCCATCTCTGATTTTTCAGAAGCAGATGACCAGGCCTTTCTACTGAGACACCTCTAGATGGACTCAAACCACCAAACTTTCAGTTAGCAGTGAGCTTGTTCGCTGGTTGCACCACTAAGGACCTCAAATCATTTCCCAGACCTACTGAATTAAAATCTCTGATAGCGACAGGCTGGTACGAGTACAATGACAGATACATAGGCCAATGGAACAGAATTGAGACTCTAGAAGTAAATCCACCCACCTATGGGTAGTTGATCTTTGGCAAAGGGTCCAAACTCATTTAAATGGAGAAGAGATAGTTTCTTCATTAAATGGAGCTGGCAAAACTGGATAGCTATTGGCAGAAAAATAAAACAGGACCCATATCTCATACCATATAGCAAAGTGAACTCAGGCGGGATCAAAGACCTGAAAGTAAAATCTAAAACCATAAAGACCATCACAGAAAAAATAGGAACAAACTTAGAGGCCTTAATTCAGGGGATAAATAGACTATCAAATATAACTAAAAATGCACAAACACCAGAGAACAAAATAGATGACTGGGGGCTCCTGAAAATTAGACACTTTTGCACATCAAAAAATTTCACCAAAAGTGTAAAAAGAAAATGCACAGAACAGGAAAAAAAATTTGGCAACAACATATCGGACAAGGGGATAATCTCTAAAATTTATGGAAAGAATCAACAATTTAACAACAAAAAGACAAATAATTTGATTAAAAATGGGCAGAGATGAACAGACACTTCACCACAGAAGACATTCCTGTAGCTAACAAACACATGAAGAAATGTTCACAATCACTAACCATTACAGAGAGAGAAGTAAAACAAACAGTGAGATACCATCTCACCCCAGCGCTAATAGCAAAGTTCAAAAGGTTAGAAAATAACAAATGCTGGTGAGGGTGCTGGTGGCATGTAAAATGGTGTAACCACTTGGAAAATAGTATGGTGTTTCCTCAAAAAGCTGGAAATAGAAACACCATATGATCCAGTAATATCACTATTAAGCATATATACTAGGGAAGAAAAACATGTGACCTGAACAGATACATACACATGTTCATTGCAGCACTATTCACAGCAGCAAAAAGATGGAAACAACCTAAATGTCCATCAGTGAAGGAATGGACCAACAAACTATGATACATACACGCAACGGAATACTATACAATGTTAAGGAGCAATGATGAATCTGCAAAACATCTCGTAACATGGATAAACTTAGAGGCCATTATGCTGAGTGAAATTAGTCAATCATAAAAGGACAAATATTGCATGAGACCACTATTATAAAAAGTCAAGAAAAGAATTTCACACACAAAAAAGAAATACTCTTTGATGGTTACCAGGGGTAGAGAAGGGAGCATAAACCACTAACTAGAGGGTAGACATATGCTGACTTGGGTGAAGGGAAAGGTAAAAAAGAGAGATTATTTATATGAAAAGCTAGCAGCAATATAAAATATGATTAGCTTAGTTTAATAATGAGCTGCATCTTCGAATGTTTTAGAAAGAATTTACACACACACCCCCCACAGATAACAAAAAAGAAAAAAAAAAACCAAAAAACTCTGATAGTGGGACCCAGGAATATGCATTATTTAAGAAGCTCTCCAGGTGATTCAGAAGCTCATCTTAATTCTCAGAGCATTTTTATAAAGTAAGAAAATAGTGAAATAAAGACAAAGAGATAAGTCATAATGAATCCAAAGAGACTCTGCAAACCCTGGGTAGCACTTTCTCCCTTTAGGTCTGATGTGCTCAGGTTTTCTCTATACCTATCTTCAGACCTCATGTATCTTTGAGCACAGATCCAGGTGCAGAAACCCTCAAGAGACTCATTAGGAATCGGGGAGAGAGGAATTGGTTTCATGGTTTGTCTGAGGGCCTGCAAAGAGCATATCCCAGGTGGCCTCTAATTGGGACCCAGTAGGGCTGAATTGGGAAGGTGCTTGGGCAGGCAGGTATATAGTATGTGTTTGAAATATGTATAAACTTTATAATAGAAACATCTGTAACATAGTAGGTGCTTGGCATGTAGTGGATGCTCAAAGAAGTTTAACTTCCTCCTTGCTACAATTTGGAATTTATCTGACTTTAAACAGAAAACAATGAACATGAGATATAGAGCTATAAGCCAGATCTTGACCTGTATATCCAGCTACTTATTTGACATCTCTACTTGGATGCTTTACAGGCATGTCCAACTTAACAGGTACACCCAAAACTGAATTTGTGATCTCCCATTCCAACCTGATCACCTCTATTTCTACCCGTCAGACTAACTGGCACTTCCATCCACTCAGTTGCTCAAATTAGAAACCCGGGAGTCACTGTAACATGTTGAGCCTCCTTACCACCATTGCTCCACCAATATTTGATCTAGCAAGAGACCTGTGGATTTTTAACTCAGAAAGAATCTCGAACCCATGTATTTTCATCTCTAATGTAAACCTTTTCATTCAAGCTCATTCAAGTAACATCATCTCTTACTTCGATAGCGTTTTCTTCTTTATTCTAATTAGCACAGGGAACTGTGCTAGATCCTAGAACAAATATTTGTTGAATGCTGAACCAGACGATACATCTCCCAACTCTGTAGTTGTTGGAGAAAGAGCCACAGTTCTGAAGAAACCATGAAATCCAACCAGGTCATTATAAGTTATTAGAAGCTGTGTCTTCTCCCATTCACCTAAACTTTCATTTGACTACTGTGAATCCAGGATGTTCTTTTCTAAAGCAATACCTTCAAAATATAATAATAATTATTTTTTGAAATTCTCAGTGAAAAGAATATGGAGAGTTGTAGTCAGTGGTTAAAAGATCTGAATTCATTTGTTCTGCCATATACGTGGAAACTTACAAGTTGGAAGGGCCTCCCTCTCTCTGGTTGACCCTGGCATTCTCCTCAAAGAGCACTGAAGTGGTGGGCACTGAACTCCATGAGAATTTGTCTCTAGCAAGTATTTACTCACAAAGTAAAACACAGCTGAGCTGAGTCCTGGCAGACAGTTTTCAGTCTAATTGTCTAGGTCATGGGAACCATCTCACGTTAAATGTCTAATAAAAGCAAAAGGACATATATTTGGAGAAAGTGAGTCCTGCAGGGCAAGAACATCACTAACTTCTAATGATGCTAGAAGAAAAGAACCCACTAATATTTGAAGTTGGAGGCAGAACAAATTGCTTCTTGGAAGCAATTATGAACTCTAGCATTTCCAAACATTGGAACAATTTTTATTTTTGTGAGATATTTTGAAATGGATGATGATAATTTAAGATTAACTTTTGATAAATCCAATTGCAAATTAAATAAGCACTAATTGGCTTGCCAATGCTCCAATAGCAGTTGAAAATCTCTTTTCTTTTTGCTTCTAATAAATGTGGGTTTTTCTAAGTTCAATATACAGAAGCTGCACCATTATAAATGTGCAGTCAAGTTTGTAAATTGGTAGATGAGATGCATCTAAGAGTAGAAAGAATATTTGTTTACTGTGCTTAAAAGGCAATTTAATTAATACTGAATTAAAAAGAACTTAAGGGCTTAAAAGCTTTAAGTTCAAGAGAGGAAGCTTGTCTAATAAATTGTTTTCAAGAATTAAAAATATGATATTCATTCATTCAATAAATATTTTTTGATTGCCTAGTGTGTTGTATAGTTCTAGATGCTAGGGCTAGAGCAGTACACTAAATAGGCAGAAATTTCTGTTCTCCTGATGTTTGCATTCTAGTGTAGAGAGAGAAACAATAAAAAAATAACTAAAATATATTGTGTGTTAGTACTGTGGAGAAAAAAGCAGAGAAGCGGGAAAAGAAGAACCCAGAAAGTAGTGAAGTCACAATTAGAGATTGGAGGACCTCACAGAGGAGATAGCTGAGGAATGATCTGAAGGAGGTGAGGGAAAGAGCCATTAGATATCTAGGGCAAGAGCATCCCAGTCAGAGGAACCAACCAGGTTAGGCAGGAAGCACCTGGTGTGTTTGAGAAGCAAGGAAGCCACTGAAACTGGAGCTGACAGAGTAAGAGAGCAGGAGGACAAGTGGGAGATGTCAGAGATGTGATCAGGAGCCAGATCGTGTGTGGCCTTGTTGGCCATAGAGAGGATTTTGTCTTTCATCAAAGAGAGGTCAAAAGTCTTCAGAGCAATTATTTAATCTGATTTATACTTTACAAAGATCAGTTTGGCTGCTGTTTTGAAAGTAGACCAAAGGAAGCAAAAGGAGACCAGAAATAGTCCAGGAAAAGAGGATGGAGATAATGGCTTGGACCAAAGTGGTAGCAGTGGAGATACTGAGGATGTTTGTAATTAGGATAAAAGTAGCATCCATGGGACTTTCTGATGGGTTGGATACAGGGTGTGAGAGAAAAAGGAGTCAAGAATAGTTCTAAGAATTCTGGCCTGCCACTAGAAGAATGGACTTGCCATTTCCTGAAATGAGGAAGACTACAGTTGAAGCAGGTTTAGAGGGGATGATCAAGGGTTCAGTATTTGACATATTGAATCTGAGATATCTATTAACCACCCAAAGGAGCTCTGGTGACATAGTGCCTAAGGCCTTTGACTGTTAACCAGAAGGTTGGTGGTTCAAACCCACCAGCCACTCTTCAGAAGGAAGACTGGGCAATCAATCTACTTCTATAAAGATTTACTGCCTCAGAAACCCAAAGGGGGTCACTATAAGTCAGAATCGACTCAATGGCAGTGAGTGTTTTTTTTAAATTAGGCATCCTAATATATGTGTGTGTGTGTGTGTGTGTGTGTGTGTAGGAGCTCTGGTGGTGCAGTGCCTAAGGCCTTTGCCTGCTAACTAGAAGACTGGCAGTTCAAACCCACCAGCCACTCTGCAGAAGGAAGATGGTGCAATCTATTTCTGTAATGGTTTATCTCCTCAGAAACCCAATGGGGGTCGCTATGAGTAGGAATTAACTCAATGGCAGTGAGTTTGGTTTGGGTTTTGGTTATTAGGCATCCAAGTGGAGATGTCAAGTACACAGTTGTTTGCAAGTCTGACATTTGGGAGAGTTCTCTGGAACGGAGACATATATCTGGGTATCACTGGAATTATTTAAAGTCATATGAGTGAATGAGATCACCAAGGAAAAGAATGAAAATGGAGATAAAGAGAAGGCCAAAGATGGAGCCCCAGGGCACTCCAACATTAAGATCCAGGAGGAAAAGAAAAAATTGAAAGGAGACTTGGAAAGAGTAGTCAGTAGGGTGGATGTCAACCAATAAAAAGGAGTGCCTTGGAAGCCACAGAAGGAATGTACTTCCTGGAAGGAGTCAATATCTGGGTCAAATAGAAAGTGCTAATTAGCTATTTGGGAGCTCTGGTAGCATAGTGGC